GCAACTGCTCGGTTGCGGAGCAGTCGGAGTGCCGCACGGGACGTTAGGAATGCAGATGCGTGGACCCAACAAACTGGGCGATGTATTTAATTTTGTGTTGGTGCCTTCTTTTTGATTTTAGTTGTTGCGCGGGGAGTAAATATCCCCCGACCTAGTTTTTTTTTTTTTGCGCTGCTGAAGACGTGAAGCAAAATCACCTGCCGAGGCAATTAATTTACTTTTTATTTTATTTTTGGGGAACTGCGGGAATTTCTCATCGCCATTCTTTTTTTTTTTTTTGGTTTTGCGGCGTGGGCGATGATCACCGCCGCTGTGGGTGCCACCGTCTGGGACCTCGCAGTGTTCTTCATCTTTTCTTCTGTCTGCGCGCAGAGACGCCACCGTTTTGCTTTTGGTTCCCGCTGCTTCTTTTGCCTCCCCACACACACGCTCACACATGCAGAAGGAGGAAAGGGAAGTCGACCAGACGCTACTCGCTGCTGTGCGCTTCGAGGGCCCTGCTGTCACAACCATCACCACACACACATCGCCCACACAACATGCCCCGGCATCTGTTTTTTTATTATGCGGTGCTGATCTGCGTGCTGTCGATATGCAGCTGCAGCAGTGGGGCTGCGACCGATGATCAAAAGGGTGCTGTGGGCCCACTTAAAGGGACAACATCGATAGATGGTGCCAAATGGGAGGAAATGCAATGCGTCGAAGGGTCAGTCACCTCGCTGCGTGTCCCCAGCCTTGTGGAGGTGGACGGTGATGTGTTTGCCGTTGCGGAGGCTCAGTACAAGAAGAAAGGCAGCGAAGAAGCTGTCAGCGTTGCTGGAATTGCGTCGGTGCTCCTGAAGGAAGGTGAAGCAGGCCCTACGGAGATCTCGACGGTGGGCACGAGTTTCCTTCACATGCAGCTGCTGAAGGGCAGTGACGCGGCTGAGAAGGCAACGGAGATAATGCAGCCGACGACAATTGTAGTAGGCAACGATGTCTACATGCTGCTGGGAAACTACAGCCGCACAACGCCGAAAGCTGAAGCTTCCGGTAAGGACGGGTGGAAGCTTTTGCTGGTGAAGGGAACAGTCAGTAGAACCAGTAATGAGGAAAAGAAAATTCAGTGGGGTGAGACCCATGCAGTGCAGCTTGAATCTCGAATTCATGGTTCTTTGACTCGGTTGGTTGGGGGCGGAGGGTCGGGTGTTGTGCTGCAGGACGGCTCGCTTGTGTTCCCCATGCAGGCCACAGACACGAAGAATGGAAAGGGCGTTTTTCTGGCCATGCAACTCACCCAGGTAGAGAATAAATGGGAGCTTTCTCGGCAGATGGCGGAAATTGGGGGCTACAGGGATCCAGCCATAGTGGAGTGGGATGACGACGAGAAACTCCTCGCACTGGTTCCCTGCAAGGATGGCTACTACGACGTGTACAAGGGTCTTGGGGCCGGCAGAAGCTGGCACCCGGTGCGCGAGCCAATTTCCCGCGTGTGGGGCAACTCACTGAAGCGTCAAGGGGAAGGCGTGCGAAGCGGCTTCATCACTGCAGCCATCGAGGACAAGAAGGTGATGCTGCTTACCCTGCCGGCGTATTCGGAGGAGAAAGGAAAGGGCCAGCTGCATCTTTGGGTGACAGACAATGCCCGTGTGCACGACGTTGGGCCGGTATCCAATGAAGAGCATGACGCTGCCGCCAGCTCCCTGCTGTACAGAAAGAAGAGGAATAAGGAGGATGAGTTGGTTTTGCTGTACGAGAAGAAAAATGATGCGGATGACTCATTCAGCCTTGTCTCTGTGCGCCTGACTGACAAGCTGCCGTGGATAAAAGAAGTGGTGAAAACTTGGAAAGAAATGGACGCCGCACTAAAAAGCTGCACTTCCGGTGGCACTTTCGACCCGCGAGCGAAGGGCATGTGTAATGGCCCTATTCCCACGGAAGGGCTGGTTGGCTTTTTGTCCAACACATTAACGGATGGAACTGATGCTGGGACCGTATGGGTCGACGAGTACCTCGGCGTGAATGCAACGGTGAAGACTGGAGAACTGGCAAGCGATGAGTGGGGCGTGACGTTCAAAGGCGTTGGGGCGGGGCGGAGTGGCCGGTGGGC